TGAGCCAAGTCATCCCAGACCGTGCCTTCATACCTTAAACAAAAAGGATATGATAAAGATGATATCAGTAGAATAAGAAACACTGTCAATGTGACGAGAAGCTCCGAAATTGTCAGCACTTTAGGCACTTAACTAACAATTAACAACTCAATGGAAACCCACTTCCAGCATCCCAACAAAATTTATATAGATAATTCTGCATTTAGAAAATAAAGCTTATACATTGTACCTCCACAATTCTGTTGAGTTCCACAAATTTGATAATTCAAGCTACCTATATATAATTATAACCAAACCATCCATATGTTTCGAATCTTTTTACATAGCCATTACACGTATTGAGCCAGAAGATGAATAAAATGCAGCCCCGTATTAATGGTCAATTTAAGAACAAATATGTACCAATACCACCTAACCCTACAGATCTTCAAGAAAAAAAGAAAAGCAAGGCAATTCAACACAGGATAACTCAAATGGCAAAGACAAGGTAAGTACTAAACACAAGCACCATCAACGTAAAGCAAAACAACTTGAGAGCTCTTCCCTTCTACTTAACTCCTCAATCACCACATTCTGTTTTGATACACTAGATTCTACCCAAAATTACATGATATTAAGGAGAGTGGAACCACAAGTATAAACTAGTATTCATTCTCTTACTTGATCAATGTGGGGTTATATGTAAGTTAACAGTCCACTTCATGTGGAGCATGCAGGGATAGAAAAACTACTGTAGTATTATATCCTTACACGTATCAAGCAGGTAGAAGCAGCTTACGCGCCAAATATTAGGCAAGACCAAACTATGAGGTGAAATTAGCTCTTGCTAATAAGTTACTTATTACCAAAACCATGATATTAGAAAGAGTAGCCAATAGATACTCGTAATTAGTTGGATTATGCAAAATTGCTCAGGCAGATAAAACAAGCCGTGTCAAATATTCTTCAAATGATGGAGCTAAATCTAGAGAAGAAAATGCGGAATAAACTGAAAACACAAAGTTAAAACCCATTCAACCAAGAAATATAACACAAAGCAAATGCAACCACATATCAATTTAAAACATAAAAGAAATCAGAAGGAACAAGCACATACGAGCTCCCATCAGGGAAAATGTAGCTGACCCACTGGAGGAATTCCTCTATTCTATCGAGTTCCTCGATTACCGCCTTGGGGTTCGAGATATCGTAGTGATTATCCGGTATTGGCGGGTATGGCTTCCTATACGGCACATAGAAGGGCGCAATTGGCGGGTCCCTGCCGGCCTTAATCTCTTCATTGACCACGTCCCAGTCTTCCTCGTTGGCCCAGACCGGATCCCACCCGGGCTTGGACATCTCAAGCGGAGCATCAGCCCATAGCTCCTGCAAATCCTCCTCCATCCAACGCTCCGGGTCCTCAGGGAAATCGAACAAATCTTCGTAGAACACGTAATCCCTGTCCTCACCCTCTTGCATTCTCTTCATTCGCTTGCTCTCAAGGACTCTCTTGAACATCTTGATGTTGGTCTCAGGCGTGTTTTCGGATTCGGGCAGCTCGTCGCCAGGTCGAGTGTAGGTGAGAGTATCAGTGTCCCCTTCTTCTGCTTCGAGATAGTCATCGTCTGACGACTCGTCGGAGTCAGTGTCTGACTCGAGTTCCTGCTCTTCTTCCGCATTTTGGGGTTGTTCGAGAGTGGAGTCGTTTAGTTGGAGTGAGTCAGAGAGTTCGTTCGAGCCTTCATTGGACATTTTGAGAAAGAGAGATGCAGAGAAAGGATAAGGTGAGAAGTGAAGAAGGAAGTGTGAGCGATGAATACGAAGAAAAATGAGAGAAGAGAGTGGCGTGTGGATATCGTGGGAACCTGGAAGGGTTTAGGGGAATTTTAAAATTTGCTGTTTTTTTTTTTGTTTTAGTTTATTTTATTTTTTCAATTTGTCATTTTTCTTTTCTTTTTTTTAGCAAAAATTGTAGATTATTTTTATTTTGTTGTTAATAATTAATTATTTATCTTATAGAACTAAATCAAATAAAGTACTATTTATTTTTTAAATTTATTGTATTATTCAACTAAGAAATTTTTTTTTATAAATTTTGTATTAACTTTTCTTCTTGTATTAATTTGTTATTTATTTTATTTTTATTTATTATAGTGCATAAACATTAAGTATTCTTCCATCGTGTTCTCGCAAATAGAGATAAAGAAGCATAAACGTAAAGTTGATTATAAGATCAAGTTTTAAGATTTTGATATTCTTTTTGTGTAAATTGATAGAATTTTATAGTGATGATTATTTTCTCTATTAGTTGTTTTTTCTTATAAATTCTTTAAAAGTAATATTATTTTTAAATGTAATAAAGTTAACGATTCATCTTTTAGAGATATTGGAGTTCAGTTCAACTTCGTCATTTAAGTCTGTAAGTATTGAATTCACATTGTATAGTACTAAGTAAACTATGATGATGATATTTATGTTGGTGAATTTTTAGTTTTTTTTTTTTTAGATAATTCATTAAAGTTGAATGTTGATATTTGTAATTATGATATAGTTATTTTTTTAATGGTGAATTGAATCAGTTAAATTAGAAGCTAGAGTTTATGTTGGTGATTTATAATTATTTATTTATTTTTTTCTAAGTTGTCTCATTAAAGCTATCACATCATTTTATATGTCTATGAGATGAGGAAAACAATGAAAAGGATAAAAATCCTTCACCTTCAGCTCCTTAATCTTCTAAACATTCATTAGCTTCCTTCTTTTTAACTTGTAGCTTCTCCTTGAAAAACACTCGCTCAATTTTAGGAAGCTAGAAAAGTAGTGAACAAAATTATTGAAAAATGCCACCTTTGAAAATGAAAAATCCTCCTCATTTGAGCTTGTGAACCTTAAGCTTTTTCTATTGAAAACTTTTTCCTCTTTCTTCTTCTACAATATTGGAAGCTTTAATGTGTTTATGGTTAGGATTCCTTTTTCCTATTGCTTTTTTCTTAATTTGAATGAGAATTTTGCATAATGGTTTAATTGATGCATGTTAGAAGTTTGTGGAAAATATCTTAGTGTATGCCTCAATGGATTTTAGATTAACTTATTTTTGTTCAGTTTTTTTATCTACCTTTTCAATCTAGGACGAAAAGAGAGCAACATGTGTACGACTGAAGATTGTTTAGACCAACTAAAATGTAGGTTGACCTTTTTTCAAACACTTGAGTAGGATGCCCATATTTTATTTGGTATGATCCTCCCTATGTGAGAGGTTAATTCCTCAAAATTATATCTAGTATTTTTTTGAAGGATTTCCACTTCATAGCATAAGATAATATCATAATAAACTTTCGATGACATAACACAAAAGAATGCGAATGTAAGATGCACGTCTAAAGCTGAATCAAATATGTCCACTATAAAAAAAGTCTATTAATTTAAAGATGTTATGTTGTTAATCATGACCATGGGTTATGATTTTATTAACTGTCTTAATATTTGTGAATATATAAAGATAACTTGAATATATGACGTATCAAAAATTATTGTGGAACAAAAGTGTAATGCCCAATTAATTTAATTGAACTTAAATTAATTATAAATATAATTTTTTATTCTTTTTATTTTAATTTAGTGTAAAAATGAAAGAAATGTAATTGAAGTTGAAATTGAAATAATTTG